GATCTTGCCCAACCTTCCTTCCAAGGAGTGGCTGGTGAGTTTGAACTGCCAGTCTTCTGGTTAGCAGTCAAGTGTCTTAGGCACTATGCCACCAGAGCTCCTAGTGATGGTAATACCTATTATTTATACAGTGCTTACTGTATACTGGGCACTACTCTCAACCCTTTACATGGATCTACTGGAATTTCCAGGTTTTCCTGAGATTCTGAGCAGAGCTGGAATTCTGTTTATAGCACTACGTTTCTAGTGCCTAAACCAGTGGCTGGAATGCAGTGGGTGTTCGATGTGTATATGAATGAATGAAGCATCGCTAAGACTACTAGGAGCATCAGTGGGTTGGGGCAGAATTCTCGGCTTCTGTGTGGGAACCCAGGTTCCGTTCCCGGCCAGTACACCTCGTGCACAGCCCTGACCCGTCTGTCCACGGAGGCTTGTGTGTTGCTAGGATGCGGATGAGGTTTCAGTGGAGCTTCCAGACTAAGAGTGACTAGGGAGAAAGGCCTGGCGGTTGACCTCTGAAATTCAGCCCATGAGAAGAAAGCCCTGTGGGTCACAATGGTCTGATCCCCAAGGGATCATGGGAATGGCACAGGAGGACCAGGCAGGTTTCATTCTGTGGTGCACGGGGCCGTCGACGGCAGCTACCACCACCACTGTGTACCAGGCACTGTTCTGGTCCTCAGAGCAACCACCCCATGAGGGGTGTGTATGTTGTGGTGGTGGTGTTGTAGTGAGGTCCAGTCAATTCTGACTCATAGCAACCCCGTAGTGTGGGGTAGAGCTGCCCACAGGGTTTCCAAGGCTGCAATCTTTATGGGAGCAGATCACCAAGTGTTTTCTCCTGCAGAGCCAACGGGTGGGTTCGGACCCCCCTTTCAGTTCGCAGCCAGGCGCTTAATCACTGTGCTACCTACCAGAGCTCCTTGGTGTGTGTGTTAGCCACACCAGTCAGCCCCATTTCTGAGACAAGCTCCCTGAGCCAAGGGTTCAGTAACTTCCCCCAGCTTACACAGCTAAGAAAAGCCCCAGGTGGGATTTGAAATCAGGCAGTCAAGTTTTAACATTGGGGCTCCTAGCCTCTGCACTTCCCCCTCGCCACTCGATAGATTGAACCCTAGCACCTATTTTTCACTTGCTTAATCACACGGGGCTCCTCTTTCTTGTCCATCTGGTCCTAGGGAAGCCCTGAAGAAAATGAAGGACGTGTATGAGAAGACACCCCAGATGGGGGACCCCGCCAGCCTGGAGCCCCGCATCTCGGAAACCCTGAGCAACATCGAACGGCTGAAGTTAGAAGTGCAGAAGTATGAGGTAAGGGTAGGCCCCTGGGGAGGGGCGGGAGCTGGCGGGCTGGGCTGAGTCATGCTGCTGGGTGTGTGTGGGGGGGGACAGGGAGGGCGCTAGGGGAGAGGGACACTCCAGCTGTTTCCCATCACCGCCTTGGGTGTGCACGAGTGACCTCAGCAAACCTCTGGTCCCCGAGTGGGCTGACCCCGGAGTCTGCCCTGACCTGATTGTGAGGCTCCACCCCAGGCTTGGCTGGCAGAAGCCGAGAGTCGGGTACTGAGCAACCGGGGGGACAGCCTGAGCCGCCACACCCGGCCCCCCGACCCCCCAACCAGCGCCCCACCAGATGACAGCAACAACAGCTCACAGGACAACAAGGAGAGGTGAGCCAAAGCCAGCTGCTGCTGGCCCCCCAGGGACCCTGGAGGCCTGGCCTCACCTCCCTTGTTCTCCCAACTAGCTCCGAAGGGCCCCCCTCGGAGGAGGGTCAGGACACCCCCATCTACACGGAGTTCGATGAGGACTTTGAAGAGGGACCTGCCTCCCCCATAGGTCACTGTGTGGCTATCTATCACTTTGAAGGTGAGGATGACTCCTGTGGGCTTGGGAGGGCATGCTGGTTGTTGGGAGGCTGTCTTGAGCTTGGTTCTGGTCAAATTTGCATAAAGCCCAATGGGCCCACCTCCACCCCCATGACAGGGTCCAGCGAGGGCACCATCTCCATGTCAGAGGGAGAAGACCTCAACCTCATGGAAGAGGACAAGGGCGATGGCTGGACCCGCGTCCGGAGGAAACAGGGCGGGGAGGGCTACGTGCCCACCTCCTACCTCCGCGTCACGCTCAACTGAGCCAGAGGCGGGAAGAGGGGGGCCGTCACCTGCTGCTTCTGGGCCACGGGGGGCCCCAGGACTTACGCACTTTATCTCTGCCCCCGTGGCTTCGGCTGAGACCTGTGTAACCTGCTGCCCCCCCACCCCCACCCCCAATGGACCCGCTGTGCCTTTCACCACCGGTGTACATACTCATGTGTCAAATCTTTTCTTCCTGCCACTCGGCTGGGACTGTTTTGTTTTATACATAAAGACAAATGATATAAATTTCTTGGAGTCTGGGTCTTATTATGGGATTGATATGGGGGCTGGGTCCCTCATCACTGTCCATACAGGCCACAGTGAGGAAGGTCTGGAGGCCGATGGGGGTCCACCAGGCTCCTTAGGCAAACCCTGCTGCCTTCTGGGAGCTGACATGAGAAGGGCATTGGTCTTTCTCCTGTCTGTGTACAGTGCAGCTTCCTGAAAACAGCATGGAGTGGCCAGTGTGCCAGGCAGTCTCTGCCTGTGACTTCACTGAAATGCTGAGCTTCCATCTCCAAAACAGACATGATCTCACTTTAATGTTGCAGGCAGGCACAGAGAGGGCAAGCCATCTATGGGAAGTCACACAGCATTTAAAGAGGCGTAGTCACATTTGAACTCTGACTTCAGATGCCACATCCCCTAGTTCTTACTCCAAAAGCCACGTGTCCATTGGTGGGCTCCTGGTGTCCTGGGTGTTCCCAGCCGTGACGGTATGTAGGTGGGGCATGAGGGTGTTCAGAGCTTCCAGTCACCTGGATCTCACCGTGTAGGGGAGGAGGCTGTTCTCTCTAGGATCTGTGTGGATATCGGGGCAGGATGGGCTCTTGCAAGGGTGGCTTCTCCTTATGTGAGGGGGTGGAACCCAATGCATGTGGCTGAGTGAGGGGCCTGGGGCCACTTCCTTGGTCTCCATCGCGGGGCTCTCAGTCGTCTGGCTCCAGGCGCTGTGACAGAGTGCTAAGGACACGATGGAACTTCTCCAGGCGCTGGGCCCTGGGCGCCGCTGCACCTCGGCTTCCCCAGAGCAGCCTCCGCAGGAAGCTGGTGGTCAGTGCCTCCCTCAGCTCAGGGTTCAGCCTGAATCCTGAGGGAAGGACCAGGTGGGCTGGCGGCCGGGCCTGGCACCAGCCTCACGCCTCTGCAACTGCCTTCCCTTGGGGACTTTGACCCACAGAGGCCCAGAGGGACTCTGCTCCAGGTGCAGGGGCAGAATGGGTGGGGTCAACGGGTTCCTGAATGTCAGTGGGGGAGGTGGGACTTACGGGCTGGTAGAGGCAGGCTGCCCCAGGAAAGTCTCTGGGGACCCCACCTGTCCTGATGTAGGGCAGCCCTGGCCACTCTGAGCCACCTCTCTGGTCAGGTGTGTGGGAAGTTGGAATATATTGGTAGGAATCACTGAAGGTGGGAATGCCCCACCTAAGGGACCCTGGAGGCAGGGCTGCCCCAGGATAGGAGCAAGATGTGGCTCTGAGCACAGTGGGGTGCTGTTTGCCTACTGGATCATTTTGTGGGGAGCTGAGCGTTTTTTGGGGTCTGGATGCTCCGTGGGCAGTCCGTCCCAAATGGGAGGGTAGGGCTCTGTGAGCCTGACTCTAGAGGAAGGGTTGCCCCTTTCCAGGTCGGGGTACAGTCTCTGTTAATACTGGTAAAAGTGGTGCGTGCTGATGTGGGAGACCCTATGGGGTGGGGCCGTTCCAATTTGGACTCTGAGAGGCGTGGCCGGACGCGCTGTCTCCAGGCCAGATTGGGTGGGGCACCGGGTTGAAGAAGTCTGGGTTCCTGGAGCCCGGGCCATCCCATGTCAGCGGGGAGGAGGTGCTCACCTCGCAGGCGCTGGGCCGCCACCTTGCGGAACTTGGGCGCGTCCCTGGCTATACGACGCGCCCCGCTCAGGGTGCGCAGAAGGCGCTCACAGCTCTCGTCTGGCTGCCCGGGCGGCTCCTCGCCCTCTAGCAGGCGCACGGCGGGCGCCACGTGTGGCAGCGCCACCTCGCCGGGCTCGCAGGGACCTATGGAGAGGGAGGCGCTGGGCTGGGGCCTGGGGTGGAGGGAGCGAAGCCTAAGACAGAATAGGGGGCGGGGCACAAAGCCAAGGAGGGCGTTAGGGCAGACGGAAAGGGCGGGGATTGAAAGGCAGACAGAGGGTGGAGCAGGACATAGGTACAGGGTGGGGCCTACAGCAGGGGGCGGAGCCTAGAATAGGCGTAAGTGCGGGGTCTGAGAAGAAGCAGGGGGCGGGGTTTGGGCAGAAGTAGAGGGTGGAATCTAGTACAGAGAGGCGGACCTGGGTTAAAGGCAGGTCCTAGGGCGGGGGGCGTAGTGGATAAAGGTTTTGGCTGATAACCAAAGGTCAGGGGTCAAACCCACCAGCTGCTCCGCGGAAGGAAGATGGGGCTACTACTTCCTTGAAGATTTACAGCCTCGGAAACCCAATGGGGGTCGCTATGAGTCGGAATCGTCTGGATGGCAGTGAGTCTGGGCTTTTGTGTTTTAGGGCAGAGGTTTGGTGCCTAGGATGGCAATAGGGGCGGGGCCTTGGGACAGGGGCAGGGTCATGACAAGCAGGAGTGGGGTTTGGACCGAAGTAGAGGGTGGAACTTAGTACCAGGAACCGGACCTGGGTCAAAGGCAGGTCCTGCGGCAGGGGGCGGAGCCTAGGACAGAACTATGGGCGGAGCCTAGATCCTAGGTTTGGGATTACTTTTGGGGACCCAATGGAATAAGTCCGGACGTACAAGCGACACCATGCCACGAAACCTCACTTACCCGCGCTATCGTCCAGCGCACGCATCAGCGGCTTCAGCTCCTGTTCGAAGGCCAGCGCCGCCTCTGTGTGGCTCCGTCGGAGCTGACGCCACGTGCGCTCCAACCGGGACACCTAGGAGCCGGCGCAGGATGAGACCTGTGCTGGCCTCCTCTCCCCCTTCACCTGCACCCGGCCGCCTCCTCGGCCCTGCCCCCCACGCACCTGGGGCATGAGCAGGGCGCCCATGACCGCGGCCAGCCCGGGCAGGTCCCCCGCCGCCCCTGGCCGCAGGGCCAGGGCCAGCTCCACCAGGCCCCTCAGCGCCGCCACGCGCTCCTCCAGCGGCCCCGCGCAGCCCAGCACGGCCAGCGCCCCGGCCAGCGACAACGCCTCGTGCCTGCGGAGGCGGAGGGCAAGGGTCTGGGGGCAGTTGGGGAGGTTTGTGATGCCGGGATGAGAGGGGATGGGAGGCGGCTATAGCCCTTCCCCCTCATCCCTGGGAGGCGATGAAGGGAGAGCGATTTGGAGACCCTCCCTCTCCCCGCAAGGTTCCAGACGGCCAGCTCACCTCTCCAGCAGTTCCAACCTCAAGCGATACCCGTGGGGAAGTGTCAGCAGCTCCAGGCCAGAAGCGACCCCCATGGCTTTCCTCTGAGCCCTAGTCACTCCCAGGAGGCCTGTGGCCTGGGGTGAGGGTAGTGAGAGAAGGGCAGGGAGTTCCGTGTGAGCAGAAAGAGTGTGGATGTGAGGTGCCATTGGGGCTGAAGTCCTCTCCCTGTCACCAGCAGGTGACTCACCTGGCAGTCTACCAAGAGTAGGTGGAGGGCCGTACTCTCAGGATGGTGCTCCAGGAACAGGCCCCGGAGGCTACACAGAACCTGAGATTCCAGGGGCCGGTTCTGGGGGCCCAGCAGGCAGGACGGGGTGTCCAGGGGGCAGAAAGAGACATCGACTTGGGGTCTCTGGAAAGTTCCGTCTTCCTCCTCCTCCTCCTCCTGGTCCTCCCACCATGGAGTCTCTGGCTCTGGGCAGGCTTGGCCAGGGGGTGCTCTCTGGGCACTGGGCACCCGGGGCACCAGCTCACAGTATGTTGGGGGGCGTCCAGAAGCCTCAGGCAGTGCCAGGGAAGGTGTCCGGGGGGGCTTGGTGGGCGCCTTGGCATGAAGCTGGCCTTCAGAGGCCCGGAGGCAGTGAGCAACAGCCCCCAGGGGAGCCTGGGTCTTCAGCAGCAAGGGGTCACTGCCTGTCCGAGGCAGGGCAGATGGGGGTATGGTCGAGGCTCCTGGGGGGGCATCCAAGCAGGGGTGATCAGGTACACGGAGAAGATAGGGTATAGGGGGAGGGGCTCATGGGCCTCCACCCTCCAGGTTCCCCCACTCGTTCAGCCCTTAACAGGGCATCCCCACGGTCTAAGTGCAACCTCGAACATCAACAACTTCACTGGTGTGACTAACTACACACTTACAAAGAGCTTGAAGGGGATTTACCTTTCTCTGACTCCTATGTGAATTCTGAAGGATACATTTTAAATCTGCATTCTTTGTTTTTGCCCTGCTGATTGAAGATAGCAAGCATTGATCGAACAAAGTGAAAATGAAAAATGTATTATTCAAAAATGTTATAGTCACCGTGGAAGTTTGTTTCAAAACGCTGAATATAGAAGTACCGTATGATTACCTAGCTCTGGTGGCATAGTGGATAAGGCATTTGACTGCTAACCAGAAGTTTGGCAGTTCAAACCCACCAGCTGCTCCATGGAAGGAAGATTGGGCAATCTATTTCAGGAAAGATTTACTGCCTCGGAAACCCAGGGGGAATTGCTATGAGTCAGAATCAACTCGATGGCAGTGAGGTGTTTTTTTTTTTTTTTTTTTAATATGACCCAGCAATCCCAACCTTAGGTACAGACCCAGAAGAAGTGAAGGCAGGAACACAAACAGAAACTTGCGCTCCAGTGCCCATGGCAGCACCGTTCATAACAGACAAAAGGTGGAAACAACCGAAACGTCCATCAGCAGATGAACAGATACGCACAGTGTGATCTACCCACACCGTGGAATACTCCTGAGCTGTGAAGAGAAGTCCTGATGCACGTGCCCCATGGAGAAACCTCGAGAACATCATGCTGAGCGAAATCAGTGAGCAGCTAAGGGACAGACAGTGTATGATCTCACTGATATGTAATTGATGGGAAATGAGCAAATATATGGAAACAAAAATTATTAGTGGTTACCAGGGGTGGTGTAGTGGTTAAGGCATTTGGCTGCTAACCAAAAGGTCAGTGGTTCGAACCCACTACCTGCTCCACAGAAGAAAGATGAGGCAATCTGCTTCCGAAAAGACTGACAGCCTTGGAAACCCAATGGGGGTTGCTGTGAGTCAGAATTGACTTGATGGCAGTGAGTAGGGGTGGAAGGGAGGTGGACCTGAGTAGCTTTTGCTTAGGGGCACTGAGTTTAGGGGGTTTGTTTGTTTGCTTTTTTTTTTTTTTCCTCATTTTTTAAAATTGTGATTTGGGTGCATGTACTGAGTTTACGTTCATGGTGGTGGGATCAGTTGGAAAAGTTGTGGGTCCACAACTTGAAGAAGGACATCAACATCACTGAATTGTACGTGTGGAAATTGGTGAGATGGTGTGTGTATTGTGATGTAAATGTTCACCACAGTAAACTAAAATAAATAATACAATGTGTTTTCAAGATTCACAAAACTTCGCAAGAACTAGCCCTGACTGCTTGAAGCCCAAGGGTCCTGTGGGCACAAACCTACACCAGAATTAGTCATCAGGAAAATTCAAATAAAATCCACAATGAGATACCACTTCTGACCCACAAGGGTAGCTATTACACAAAAGACAGGAAAATAGCAAGTGTCGGTGAGGATATGAAGAAGTCAGAAGCCTCATACACAGCTGGTGGGAACGTAAAATCGTACAGCTGCTGTGGAAAATCGTTTGATGGTTCCTCAAAAAATTAAACATAGAATTTCTGCATGACTCAGCAATTCCACTGTTAGGTACAGACCCCAGAGAACTGAAAGCAGGGTCTCCAGCAGAAACTTGCACAGAGAGGTTCACTGCAGCAGTATGCACTTAGCCAAGAAGTGGAAACAACCCAAGGGTCCATCAGCAGATGATGGAGAAACATAATGGGGTCCAGCCATACAAAGGACTATTACTGAACCATGAAAAAAATGAAGTTCTGATGCACATGGATGGACCTGGAGGACATTATGCGGAGTGAGGTAAGTTAGTCACCAAAGGCCAAATATTGTATGATTCTACCACTGTGAAGGAGTCTGGTGGTGTAGTGATTAAGGCATTTGGCTGCTAACCAAAAGGTCGGTGGTTCAAACCCACCAGCTGCTCTGCAGAAGAAAGATGAAGCACTTTGCTCCTGAAAAGATTTACAATCTTGGAAACCCAAGATTGTATGGGTTGCTATGAGTCAGAATCGAGTTGATAGCAGTGAGTTTCCACTACTATGAGGTATTTAAAAAAATAAATAAACCAAACTCACTGCCATCAAGTCAATGCCAAGTCATAGCAACTCCCATTGCGTTTCTGAGGTAGTAAATCTTTACAGAAGGAGATAGCCCCATCTTCCTTTCAAGAAGCAGGTGGTGGGTTTGAACCACCAACCTTCTGGTTAGCAGTCAAATGCCTTAGGCACTGTGCCACAAGAACTCCGTATGAAGACTGTGGAATAAGCATATTCATAGATACAGAAAGTAGAACAGAGGTTCCCAGAGGCTGGAGATGGGAGGAATGGGGAGTTGTTTAATGAATGCAGAGTTTCTGCTTGGGATGATAAAAAAAAATCTGGAAATGGCTAGTGGTCATGGCTACACACATTCTGAAGGTACTAACGCCACTGAATTGTACCCTCAAGAATGGTTAAGATGATAAATTTTAACTTAAAGTTTATTTACTGTAGAAGAGAGGGCCTGCTGATGTGCTTCCGTAAAGATGACAGCCGAGAAAACCCTGTGGGGCAGTTCTACCCCGTCACCCGTGCGGTCACCCTCAGGCCCAACCAACTGGACCATGACTGACAAGAACAGCGAAACACACATAATTTACTTATGGTGTCTTTGTAAATCTATGGCACGTTTGCTTTTGGGGTTATTAGAGCTTAAAAATGCACCAAGACTTTTGGGAGACTCTGTATTTGTTGTCGCTGTTATGTGCCATCGAGTCGGACCCGCCTCATAGCCTTGGGTTCGAGGCAGTATCACTATGGAAGTAGACTGCCCAACGTTCCTTCCAAGGACTGGCTGGTGGGTTTGAACTGCCAGCCTTCTGGTTAGCAGTCAAGTGCCTTAGGCACCATGCTACCAGAGTGTATTTAGCAGCACTTAAACAGACCCTGTTCCAGGGGCTCAGTGAATCTGGTGTGGTGCAGTGAATCACTAGGTATGGCTTTCCTAGCCATAGTTTTTATAACTCCCACCGGATTACTGGATAGGCCCATGCAAATAAGGTGTGTAGACTCTGATGTTGGGATTGGTTAGTTGTCACTCCGCCTGGCCTACAGTGAGCCTTCCTTTCTCTATGTGTGTGTGTGTGTGTGTCACTGCGATCAAGACAGAAGAGCTGGATGTGAAGTAAGGTGCATCCTCAGACCCAAGATCCCTGCACTGGACCTCCTTGGCAGAGATGTCCCATTAGAGAGAGACGCCCTGGCAAAGAGACACGGCCTGGCAGAGAGAGGGTCCCAGTGGAACCAAGAGGCAGGAGACAAAGCAGCGGGCTTACCTGGCCCACAGAGCGACAAAGCTGTGTGCTCCTGGGCAGGAGGCTCCCTGAGGAGTGGGCTGCACCTACGTGTACCTACTGGCAGAGCTAAAAGAGCTTGTAACACTTGCCCGAGCAGGACAGAGGCCAGTGTGAGAGACCAAGGGCCAGAGAGGCGTGTCTGAGGGCACAGCAGAGGGGAGACTGTCCTGATCGAAGAACTGTATCCTGAGCACGTTCCTGAACCTGAATTGTAGCCTCTTACTTCCCTAATAAACCCCATAATCGTGAGTATTGTCTGTGAGTTCTGTGTGGCCATTGCAATGAATTTTCAAACCCAGCAGAGAAGGGGTGAGTGCTGTGGGAGGGACGGCTCGTGTGGGTTAAAAAGGTGGGAGGGTGGTGGCACGTGGCACATCTGGCCTCTTAGGAATAAGCCTTGGGCTGTTGATGGTGACTGTTTTCCCCTCCTGCGACTGGGAGGAAGTCAGAAGATGCCACCTCCATTTCCTTTTTGCACCTGGTGATGTAATGGTTAAGGGTTGGCTGCAAACTGAAAGACTGGCTGTTAGAACCCATCCAGCAGCCCCATGGGAGAAACGCCTGGTGATCTGCTCCCATAAAGATAACAGCCTAGGAAGCCCTGTGGGGCAGTTCTACTCTGTCACATGGGCTCACCGAGTCAGAACTGACTTACTAACACCCAGTACCAACTAGAGGCGCGACACTGTCCCAAAGTTCCCAGCTCACTCTGAATAAGGGATCTCACGGTGGCCAAAATATCCCTCACAGTTTGAGTCCTGGGATCTCTCTTTCCTGTCAGTCCCACCACTTCAGCTCCACTCGCCTCCTTTGAGTTGAGTGTACCGTTCAAATGCGTTTCGGCCTCAGGGCCTTTGCATTACCTGTCCCTTCTACCTGGAACACTCTCAGCCCCAGTTATCCACATCTCTTGTTCCCTTACCTCCTTCAAATCTTTCTCATTGAGGTTAAGTGCTCAACTACTATCCGAAAGGTTAGCGTTTGGAACCGATCCCAGAAGGGCCTGGTGATCTGCTTCTAAAGGGTCACAGCTGTGAAAACCCTTTGGAGCTCGGTTATACTCAGCAACTAACAACAAGCATACATAAGGTCCCTAAGTGGCACAAATGGTTTGCATTCTACTGTTAACCTAAAGGTCAGCAGGTCAGATCTACCCAGTGGTACTCCAGAAGCGGAGGGGCCTGGCAATCTGCTTCTGTTAAGATTATAGCTAAGAAAATCCTATGGATTAGTCTTATGCTTTGGTGGCGTGATGCCTAAGGCATTTGACTGCTAACCAGAAGGTTGGCGGTTCAAACCTGCCTGCCACTCCGCGGAAGGAAGATTGAGCAATCTACTTCCATAAAGATTTACTGCCTCGGAAACTCAAAGGGGGTCACTATGAGTCAGAGTTGACTCACTGACACTGAGGTTTTTTTTTTTTTTTTTTTTTTGGTAAAACATGGGTCACCATAAGTCAGAATCAACTTGACAGCAACCACCACCACCAAAGCATATATAATCTTATTCCTAGTGTGTATGATCCGTCTTCCTCTGATAGGATGCTGGCTCAACTTGAACAGGGGTCTTTGTCTTTCTTGTTCATTGATGCGTCCCAGCACTTAGTTCGGTGCCTGGCACACGGGGGGCTCGTTTTGAATAGGGAGATGGATGGGTAGGAAAGGGGGAGCTTCCTCCTTGAAGCGTGGATGGTCAGGAACTCACGTTGAATGATGCAAGGTGTGTATCCCCTTGCAGTAAACAGCTTGGCCTTTGGTTGGGGTGGGGGGAAACTGAGAGCCGACCACAGCTGAGGCCAGTGAGTGGAGGCCATCAGACTAAGAGGAACCACCTTCAGCCTGATGCTAAGCCTCAGGAGGCCTGAGGTCATTTATTATGACCACGTGGTGAGGCCAATAAAGGCCTTGGAAGATGTAGGCTCAAAGGAGCTTCCTGGGTGGGGAGGCCAATTCTGCTCTTGGAAAGATAATTGCTTTCCTGGAGGCATGGAAGCTGTGTGTCCTGAGACCTCCCCTGGACCTCAGGCTCTGTGTTTGGATCCTTTTTATCTGCTAGGTTAAAGACAGTTCCTTCCTTAGAGTCTGTAAATGACTTCAGATGAGGAGCAGCCCGTCTGATAAAAAGATGACAAAATGGACTTTGCAACAGAGGGGACAGCAAGCAAAGGCCCCGACGCAGGGACAAATCTGGAAGGTCCCAGCCACAAAAGGAAGGCTGTGTGACTGGAGCTAGGTGACATGGCAGGATTAGTGCTTCGGAAGGTGAGCTGGGGCCTGAACGTGGAAGAGTTCTTGGAAGAATTGTAACGTGTCTTTAAGCCCTAACAAAGTCCTTGTGACAACTTTGCGATCACTAATGTCCCCATTTTCCAGAGGAAGTATTTGAGGCTGTGACAGGTTGTATCACCTGCCCGAGGTGACCCTGGGAGACCCTCACCTGGTCCAGAATGGTCTTCTCTTGACCACCCTGCATGCTCCAGACCTGCTGGCTGACTGTCGCTCCACTTCCTAGTCCTGGAGGCAGAGATAGAGGAGAACTGTAGCCCCAGTGGAAACAGGGAAGTCCCGCCATAGACCAGAAAACCCTGCATCCATTCATTCTAAACCAGAGGATCTCAACCAGGGTAATTCTGCTCCCCTGGGAACACTTGGCGATGTCTGGAGACATTTGTAGTTGTCACAACTGGGATGTGTGTGTTTGTTAGTGGCCATCTAGTACGTAGAGGCTAGTTATATTGCTAACCACCCTACACTGCACTAGATAGTCCCTCCTCATAGAGAATTATCCAGCCTCAAATACTGACAGGAATCCCTGGGCTGCGCAAACTATCAATGCGCTTGACTGCTAAATGAAAGTTTGGAAAGCCCACAGTGGTGCCTAGGAGAAAAGGCCTGGCAAACTACTTTAAAAAATTCATCCACTGCAAACCCTATGGAGCACACACATGAGGTCACCATGAGTCATAAGGGATTCAATGGTACTTGATTGGTTAAAAGTTGATGGTGCTTGGAAAACCCTGTAGTGGTGGGGTACTATTGCGAGTACCTGAAAGGCTCTCTTCGAGTTGGGCTGTCTATAAGGGTGTCCTCGCTAAAGCTGCGCCGCAGGGGCCCCTGCCGGGTCACAGGCCGGGAGGCTATGGCCCCTGAGGCCTGAGACAGTGGGCGCCGGCCAGTCACATAGCTGTGGACCAAGGCAGGCAGGCTGGGGAAGCGCTCCTCCTCCAGCTGAAAGAGAGCCGGGGGCCGACCTGGTCGGGGCCGCAGCGCCACACGGAGAACCTCGAAGTGCAGGGCCAAGCCTCGCCAGCGGCAGGTGAGCACGGGGTGGCCCCCTCGGGACCGGGAGGCACGTACCAGGAAGTCACCATCTTGCTGAAGAAGGGCCTCGGCCTTCTGGCATGGGGAACAGAGGACAGGGCGCTTAGGAATGGGCTCAGGCCAGCAGTGAGTGGTGACCCCCTACTCATTTAAGAACGTAAAGCCACCCCAGTTAAACTGCTGCGACAGAGATCAGGCCATTTACCCCCAAACCATGTCTCCTTTTCGCATAGGCACAAAACTGGACTACATTTCCCAGACTCCTTTGCAGTTAGTCATGTGATGAGGTTTGGCCAACGGGTTGGGAGCAGAAGAGCTGTAGGAAATGCTCTTAAGTGTTGACGAGGAGACACCAATGCCCTGGGGGATGGGGGAGCCACGAGATGGAAGGGACTTGGGTCTTGACTGATTGCTGAGGCAGAGCTTTGCAGCCTCACTTCCCAGGCTCCTGGAACTGTGACATGAACCAGCCATAAATATTTACTGTGTTTAGCTGGTGCTATTTTGGGAATTGCTTGGGCACTACAAATGGCTAATACTGCTCGGCTGCTAATGGAAACACAGGAGGTTCAAGTCCACCCAGAAATGCCTCAGAATAAAGGCTTGGTGATCAATTTTTGAAAATCAGCTACTCAAAACCCTACGAAGCACCCTACTACTCTGACACACACATTTACCAGGAGTCGGAACCAACTCAATGGGAACTGTTTTTTTTTTTTTGCTATGGCATTTGACCACTAACCAGAAGGCTGGCGGTTCAAATCCACCAGCCACTCCTTGGAAGGAAGGTTGGTCAATCTACTTCCATAGTGATACTGCCTTGGAAACCCAAGGAGGGGTTGCTATGAGTTGGGTCCGACTCGTCGGCAAATAACAACATGTAAAAGTAGCTTCAAGAAAATAGCTGGATCCTTCCAAACAGACTGTGGCCAAGACCCCTTCTTTATAAATACCTTAGAGCACTCTTAAGCCAGCAGTGGTGGCTGTATTGAAACAGAGACGGGGGGTCAGGACACCAGAGGGAGGCAAAGCAGAACTGGGGGCTGAATAATAAATGAACCTACACACCTACAGCTCTGACTATGTTCGACATTGCTGTAGTGTCCAACATATTAATGCCTTTAATCCTTGTATTGTACATTGAATTGTGTCCCCCAAAAAATATAGGCTTGGAATCCTAATTCCTATACCTGTGGATGTAATCTTATGTAATGTAATCACCTTCCATGTAACATAATGTAATGATCTTCCATAATGTAATGTAATCACTTTCCATAATGTAATCTAATGCAATGCAATCATTTTCCATAATGCAAATGAATGTAATATAATCTGTCAGTGGAGGTCATACCAGTGTAGCCTGGATCATATACGTAATCATGTCAGGAGGGAGATGTGGCCCTGCTGGCCACAGATGCCTGAGGTCCAGAGGGAGTGACAGGTGGGGACAAGGAGTGGATCTGGGGGCATTTGGCTCCCCTTTGATCTCCATCCCCTACACCATCCAACTAAAGTGACAATTTCAACATGACAGTGTACAGTGCAGTGAATTGCTGGGTATGGCCCTGCTAGCTGTGGTCTTTGTGACTCTCACCAGATGACTGGGTGGGACTGGGTGCAAGTGGGACGTGCTTCTAGCTCACCAAAGGGACTGGATAGCTTGCTAATAATGTAAAAGAGGTGCATGGCACCCTTGTGGCAGTGGCACCAAGCAAATGACGTATATGGAACTCCAAGATGGGGACTGGTCAGTTTTGCCATCCTGTTAGGCTTCAAAATGAGCTCCCCCCTCAAGAAGCAGAAAGGGGGACATCTTACTACCACTGAGAAAGAGGAGCGAGGAATGGAGATCCCTGTGCTGAACCTCCTTGACCCAGGCAGGAGACGGAGCTGCGACACTTTGCTGAGCCAGTGAGAGATGGTGAGAAACAGCAACAAAGAACTGCAGCAGAACCCAGAGACCCGGCAGCACAGCGGGCTTCAGAGCCCAGGCAGGGGGAAAGCTGAAGGGCAGGAGGCTTATCTGGGCAGAGGCTTGCTGGTGAAGTGGGGTGCGTCCAGGCACTTGTCGGCGGAGTTGGGCTCACTGACCATGGAGCAGGAAAACTGAGTGCCTTTGGGCAGGAGGCTTGTTGGTGGAGTGGAATGCCTCTGAACACTTTCCTCAGAGCTGAAAGAGCTTTTAACGCTTGCCGGAGCAGGGCAGAGGCCAGGTGGCCTTGGGGCTGAGAAGCCAAGGGCCAAAGAGAGGCGTGCCTGCAGGCACTGCTGAGAAGAGGCTGTCCTGACTGAAGAACTGTATCCTGAGTTGTTCCTGATTCTGAATTGTAACCTGTTACTTCCTTAACTAACCCCATAATCATGAATATTGTCTGTGAGTTCTGTGTGGCCATCACAACGAATTAGCAAACTCAGCAGAGAAGTGGAGAGTGCCGTGGGAGTTGGTGTCTGAATTGGTAAAGAGGTCGGAGGGTGGAGGCACGACCAACCTCTGCCTTATAGGAATCAGCCTTGGGCTGTTGCTTTTGATCCTTCTCCCCCCTAGTGAAGTGAAAGGAGGTCAGATGCCTCCTCCACGACATTTTTACAGAGTGATGGTGTCAAGCCAACCAAGCTTCAAGACAGTCCCCAGCCCCCTAGCCACTCCTTCCAACAGACCTTGGCCCTAAACCTCTGGCCTCAGACTCAGGAGTTGCCAGCATGTCAAGAGTTGGGGAGGGTCCTCAGAGATGGTACTGAGCCCCTGCAGGAAGTGGTACCTGGCGAGACAGGAGGCCGTGGTACCAGGGCTGGCTGGCAAGGTCCTCTTCATCCTGTGGCACCTGCATGGGGCTCTTGGGTGCAGATGGTGCCAGGGCTGAGCTCTCTATTCTAACAGGCCTCAATCTTCTGCGGCTGTAACATGGGAAGAGTGACTCTTAGCTTTCTGAGCACCTGCGTTAGCCTTTCCATGTTCCCCTCAGTGTTGGTCACTGCAGCCCATATCCTAGCAAACCTTGGAATACCCACCCACCCCACCCCCATTTGTCAGTTGGACCTACTGTGGTAGCTTACATGTTTCTATGACGCTAGAAGCTAGGCTTCTGGTATTTCAAATACCAGCAGGGTCACCCAA